GCGCACACGCCCTACAGTGAAAATCTCTCAAAAAAACAAAATCTGAGTGGGTTCTTTCCTTTTGGATCTTTAGAAATAGTTTGAGGAGAATTGGGGTTAGTTTTTTGGGGGGGAAGTTTTTTGCTGTAGGGTGTGTGCACTTGCAGAGAGTGAGAGATAGAGAGACAGAGAGACAGAAAGCAAGAAATCGCTCTTCCCCAGAGTGGATGGACATGCCACAATCCCTTCTCTTCCATTCTCCTCTTGGGATTTTAGTCACACATGCACAAGTGCCTGGCATGAGTTTTAAGCCACCAGTCCAAGTTTCAAACCATGGTTGACTACATGAGAGTTCAGCGACATAACCATTATATGATATGCTGGTCCCAGCTCTTCTTTAAAAGTTTTGTATTGTAGAATTTGAATTTAAAGTCATTGGGACCTGGGCTTTTCTTTTTCTCTTTCTTTCTTTCTTTCTTTCTTTCTTTCTTTCTTTCTTTCTTTCTTTCTTTCTTTCTTTTTTTTTGAGAGTGTTTTTGCTATAGTTTGTATGCTCACCAGAAAGACAGAGACAGAGAGACAGAAAGCGAGAAATCACCACTGAGGGGGGATGGCCATGCCACAATCCCTTCTCCTCCATTCTCCTCTCGGGTATGCATGGACACGCACCCGACCTGAGTTTAAGCCACCAGGTCCAGGACTCGAACTGCAATCGACTACATGGGAGTCCAGCAACATAGCCATTATGCCAACTGGTCCCATGGACTTTTCTTTTTTGGGAGACTATTTATTAGTGATTCAATCTCATTGCTTGTCATTAGTCTATTCGGGCTTTCTGTTTCTTCCTGGTTCAATCTTGCTAAATTATGTGTCCAGAAATTTGTCCATTTCATCTAGATTTCCTTGTTTGCTGGCAAATAATCACTCATAGTATTTTCTCATGACCTTTTGTATTTTCTGTTATGTTTGTTGTGGTATGGCCTGTTCCATTGCTGATTTTACTTATCTGGTTCCTTTCTTTGTCCTTCTTGATTAATCTAGGCAATTGTGTGCCATTTTTGTTTATTTTATCAAAAAACCAGCTTTTGCTTTCATGTATTTACTTATTTATTCATTTATTTATTTTGGAGAGGTTTTTGCTATAGGGCGCATGCACTCACCAGACAGACAGAGAGAGACAGAGAGACAAAAAGCGAGAAATCACCTCCCAGGGGGGATGGCCACACTGCAATCCCTTCTCCTCCATTCTCCTCTCGGGGTCTTGGGCACGCATGCACATGCGCCCAGTGTGAGTTTTAAGCCACCAGGTCTGGGATGCGAACCGTGGTCGACTACATGGGAGTCCAGTGATGTAGCCATTACGCTAACTCCTGGTCCCTTGTGTATTTTCAGTATAGTTTTTTTTAAATTTTCTATTTCATTGATTTCTGCTTGAATCTTTATTATTTTTTTTCTCCTGGTATTTGTTGTTGTTTTCCCAATTCCCTGAGATGTATTGCTAGGTTGTCCATTTTCAACCTTTTTTTTTTTTCTTGGAGGAACTAATTATTACGAACTTCCCTCTTATGACTGCTTTTGCTCTGTCTCATAGATTATGAAAACTGGTGTGCTTGTTATCATTGGGTTCAGGAAGATTTCTTCCTGCAGTAAGTTTAATTCCATTGTGGTCAGAGAAGATACTGGATATAGTTTTTATACCTTTGAATTTGTGAAGGCTTGTTTTATGCTCTATCATGTGATCAATCTTCAAAAATGTTCCATGTGGGGTGAAAAAAATGTATATTTTGTGGTTGTTGAGTGAATAGTTCTATAGATGTCTCTCAAGTCCATTCAATTAATGGTATCATTTAGATCTTGTATATCTTTACTTATTATTTGTCTAGATTATCTATCCAAAGGAGATATTGAGGTGTTGAGATCTCCAACAATTACTGTGTTGCAGTCTATTTCTCCCTTTAGATCAAGCAGTCCTTTAACATACTTAGGTGCTACATTGTTGGGTGTATAGACATGCATAAATGTTATATCTTCTTGGTGGATTGGCCCTTTTAGTATTATATAGTTTCCTTCTTTGTCTCTTATAATTTGTGTCATTTTTTAAAAGAGTTTTTTTTTTTCCCTTAGGGTACATGCACTCGCTGGAGAGAGAGAGAGAGACAGACTCGGTGAGAGGGAAAGTGAGAAATCACCCCTCAAGGAGGATGGCCATGCCACAATCCCTTCTCCTTCATTCTCCTCCAAGGATGTTGAGCATGCATGTACATGTACATGATGTGAGTTTCGAGCCACTCAATCCAAGAATCGAATCATGTTTGGCTGTGTGGGAGTCCAGTGATGTAACCGCTATGCCATCTGCTTGTCCCTGTGTTTTAAAGTCTATTTTGTGTGATATCAGTATTTCAATTCCAGTCTTCTTTTGATTTCAATTTTTGTGGATCATCTTTTTCTAGTCCTTCACTTTCATTCTGTGTATTTCTTTATCCATGAGATGTGTTTCTTGCAAGCAGTATAATATAGTGGGCTTCTGTTTTAAATCCATTCATCTAGTCTGTGTCTTTTAATAGGACAAATTAATCAATTAACATTCAATGTTATTACAGATATTTGTGGGTTTATCCCTGTCATTTTGTAAGCCATGTTTTTTTTTTCAGTTTTGTGTTCTTTCATTTTTGTTTGTCTCTTTTTAGTTTTCTTGATGCAGTACTTCCTTCAGTACTTCTGATCTAGTGTTGGTAAATTCACTTTAATTAATTCATTAATTAATGTTTTACCTGCAATCACTATGTATCATTACAGCACATCAAATAAATCTTCCCATCATGAATACACTGTATATCAGTTCAGTCAAAGATATTACCATACATATTATCAACAGATAATTTTCCATTTTTGTGTTCCTAAAATGTTTTGCTTCTGTCTTTCCCCCCTTGATTTCCTCCCTCTTGCCCTTCCCCATTTTATGCCCTCCTCCAACACTGTCTCTAGAATCATCATTGCTCCTCATGCTTTTATACCTTCCAATCTTTCAGTTTCTGCTATAGAGTGCTGACATTGGGTATATACTGAATGAGGATATACAATGCCTCTCTTTCATAGTCAGGCTTGCTTTGTTTAGCAGTAAATTTTCCATATTTATGCACTTTCTATTAAATGCCAGGGCCTCATTTGTTTTTATGGCTGAGTAGTATTCTGTAGTGTATATGTGCCACACTTTTTCAATCCATTCATCTGTTTGTGGACATTTGGGTTGGTTCTATGTCTTACAAATTGTGAATAATGCTGCAATAAACATAGATGTGTGTTTTTCTGAATGAGTGTTTTCCTATCCTTTGGGTGTATTCACAGGAATAGGATTGATGGATCATATAATAATTTTATTTTTAGGTCTTTTTTTTTTTTGGGAGGTTTTTTTTTTTTTTTTTTTTTTTTT